TAATGAATAGCTAAATGAATGAAGAAATGAACGAACAAATCAAAAAAATAAATGAATGCTTGATTGATTGATTGATTGAAGGAATGAATGAATGAATTAACAGATAAATGAATGAAAACATCAATATTGACAGATACATCAATTTGGACAATAACATACCCAAATAATCAGCGAAGCCTTAAACATAAAAAAACACAAACAAACAAAACACAAATCACAAACACAACTATAAAATAGAAACATAAACATAAACAACAAAAACGTAAGCAAAAAATAAAATTTTTTCATTTTTATGTCTATGGCTGTCTTTTTTCAACATGTCCTTGAAGTGAAAGATAAATGTTCACTGTGTTTGCGCATAATTGTGATATATATATATATATATATATATATATAAAGAGAGAAGGAAGAAAGAGAGAGAGAGGAGAGAGAAAGAGAGAGATATAAAAAGAGAGAGAAACGGAGAAGAAGTATCTNTATTGAAATTTTTCATAATTTATGATCCTGGAATATTTTTTCTCATCATTTGAAACGTTCCAGTCATATTTCAATCTTTTAATGGCGGTGCAATAGGTATGAACGAGACGGTGATTAACTGCGTTGTAAAAATATAACTAAAGATATACAAGACGATACAATGTGATACGATACGATAAAATACAATACAGAACAATACTGCCCGATAGATCATGCTTTTACATAGGTATGTACTTGTGACATGTATGTAAATTGTATAAATGTATAAATCTCTGTATGTATTTCTGAAAAAAAATGGTTTTTTAGTTTATTAATTAGAGGTTTGGCTGAAAGGGAATCAAGCTCATTAGTTGAAACTGGAGGAAAAAATTATCAGTAATAAAATTTCCTTTGGGATTAATAAATGAAAATTTCGATCAAGCACTTTGCGTTTGAGTTTAGTCAGTGTCAGGAAAAAAAACGAATGAATGAATGACTGAACGACTGAACGAATGAATGAATGAACGAACGAATGAATGAATGAATGAAGAAAGAAAGAAATGAATGTGCAACTTGAATTATATATATATATATATGCGTATCACGTGTTCAACATCACGTTCAGTGATGGTATCGAAACTCCTTGACCAAATATCGGACCAAGTACAGATTACATATTTCTCTCTCTCTCTCTCTCTCTCTCTCTCTCTCTCTCTCTCATTTCTCTCTTTTTTTCTGTTTATCTTTCTCGTTCACTCTTCTTTTTTCTTCTCTAATTGACTCTTTCTCTTTCTCTCTCTCTCTCTCATCCTAAATTTAAAAAATGCAAGCGGTAAATCATTTTTATCACAGTGAAACAGATTGGAAATTAGGTTAGTTTAGTAGTTTGTTGTCTATGTTCTAAATGTAAATATATACGTCAAAAATAATTGTAGTTTTTTGGACAGGAAACGCGTTTCTCTATCCATGGTTGGAGAATTCATAGATCTATGGGCAGTAATTTTACGTTTCTTTGGACTGAAATAAATAAAATAATTTTAAAATTATCAATGTACGTTTGTGTATATGTGTGTGCCTGTATGTGTGTGTGTGCGTGTATGTGTGTGCGTGTTGCGTGTGTATGTGTTGTATGTGTGTGTGTGTGTGTGTACGCGTCCCAGTTTAAAAAAAGTTTTAAAAAAGGATGACAAAGATGACGATAATTATGTTAATTAACATTATTCTAATTCTTCATTATGATGATAATGATATTAATAATAATAATAATAATTATTATTATTATTATTAAAAATATTAGCGACGTTTCCGACAACCTTGACTTACAAGCATTCAAAATTTAGGTCATTCATGCATATATGCAACATTGATCATCATCATCCTTTTTATTGTTCATATTGTTGTTATGATTGTTATTATTACTCTTTCAAATATTGTTTTTCTTCTTCTTCCTCTTCCTTTTCTTATTATTATCATTATTATTATTACATTATTACTTCCGGTTTTTATCTAAGTTTGAAAATAGTCTTTAGGTGATTTTTAACAGCTTGTATTTAGCAACATTTTTTCCACCCATTCATTCATTCATTTATTCATTCATTCATTCATTCATTCATTCATTCATTCATTTGTTGGTTTGTTTGTCTGTTCATCCAATTATTTGCCGTGTTACTGTTCACACCTTTATTCGTTCGTTCGATTGCATTCGGTTCCTCGTTCATTCCTTGTTTATTTTTTTTATAATGTTTACCTAAGTGTTTATCATTTATCTTCTTCCATTAAACAAAAAAAAACAGATCCATTCATTCATCTATTCATTCATCCATAATTCATCCATTAACTCATCCATTTATCCATCCATTCATCTATCCATCCATTCATCTGAATTTTTTCAATGAAAAAATTGTGAGATTTTTATTGAAGCAAACATATGCTAGCCTATATATTTATAACACATTTATATCAAAGAATCTGTTAATGTTTAAATAACCGCCTACTAACACATATATGTAAAGATATATACACAAACACATATACTCACACATATATATAATCACACATACAAACACACACATACCTACGTATATACATGCATACATACAAACATGCAAAGCATAACCATATACAATTATACACACACATATATAAATACATGCATGCATGCATCGTTTTGCAACTAAAAAAGTGAGATGATGATGTAGTTTATGATGATTCACGTATGTGTATTTGTATGTATGTATGTATGTATGTATGTATGTCTTTGTATGTATGTATGTATGTCTTTGTATGTGTTTGTAATTTCGATCCATAACGATTCCGAACTCTTAAATAGACCAGAAAATTAGACCGTCAAAACATAATTTCCATCAGGAGCAGCATCGTTATCATCACCGTCATCAACATCATCATCGTCGTGATCGTTATCATCATCATGATCGTCATCATCATCATCATCATCTTCATCATCGAGATGATAGTTAAACTGTCGAAGAATGAATGAATGAATGAATGAGCGAATGAATGAGTAAATCAATGAGTAAATCAATAAATGAATGAATGAATGAATGAATGAGTGAGTAAATGAATGAATATTTAAACACACACAATCATCAATTCTTTTGATGCTAATTGAATCTATATAATTGAATCTATATAAGTTTCGAACTTTCAAGTATTTTTTCGTTAGTATTTTACTTTTTTTCATATTTTTACTCAATTTTCATCTATTTACGGGTCACAAATTTAATGAAAAACCATCAAAAAAACCATCTCCATCACCATCTCTCTCCATCATCATCTTCTGTCAGCAGTTAAAAATATTTACGTTTGCACTATGATAATAGTACGCAGTATCTTATTTCGTTTCGTTCTCTCTTTCTCTCTCTCTCTCTCTATATATATATATCCCTCTCTCTCCATTCTTCTTTTCTTCTCTTTATTCCTTGTATTTCTTAATTTTTCTTACTTAAATAAATATAATCTGCAAAATGTCAACGACTAGAACAATAAAAATTGAAACGATGATGATGATAGTGCCTAAGGAAGTCTTTGGATGCTTTCAAAGTCTAAATATTATTTTGAATGAACTCATATATAACATTACAATTTAAATATGTAAACACACGCACACACACACAAATACAAACACACACAAATACAAACACACACAAATACAAACACACACACACACATACATATATATTCATAAATTTTTTTCTAAATTTCTGTTTTCGATGAACTTTTCACGTGGTTTTTACTTTAAACAGCAAGTGCGAATGAAGTTAGTTGCACACACACAAACACACACACACACACACATACACACAATTCGAAATTGTGTTGATACAAATTAGGGATGGGAAGGCAATGTAAGATATATAGAGACCTAGATATAACGAAGAATAGAAGCCTCTGATGATTTTTAGTATCGAAATGGCACTGCTATAAAAAAAATGACATTATTTTAAACTTTTCTCTACAAATATTTCTATAAAAACCAGTTTTTCAACAAACATTCTCGATTAAATTACGAAAAAAAAAATTCCGAGGCTAATCATTATGGCGTCACTATCAGACAAAGTTCATGACCCCGAGAAGGTCAAGGTCAGTCGGGGAGTAGTCATTCAACAACAATCATAAGAGTTCGTTTCGTCCGATAAACACACGGCAAAAATAAGAAGATGATGTCTCAGAAAGTTTTAATTTTTGAACTTCGAAAGAACTCTTGAGAGAGTTTCGTTCGTAGAGAGCGCTATATAAATGCTAATAATAATAGGAATAATAAAAAGAATAATAAAGGCAACAACAAGAGCAAAGATAATAGTACACGAATACATGTATACAACACGCATGAACTCGCATCTCCAAAAGTAGTTAAGAAAATCAACATTTATAAAAAAAGAAGACGAGTAAAAAAAAAGAAAAAATAATAAAATGAATAACAGTAATGTTAAAAAATTCAAACGTCCTCAAATCAGACCAGTTAACTAAATAAAAAGTTTGTGGTTAAACAGATGTTGTTGAGGTTGACGAGGTTGTTGTTGTTGTTGTTTTGGTTTGTTTCCGGGGAAGAAGTTTAAAAAATCCGCAAAGTTTTTGGAGATAACAATTTAGAAAGAGATTTTGTTTATTTTAAGGCTTAAAGCCCTCCACACGCACACGTTCCTGTATATACAAACACACACATACACATATATATACATACATAAATACATACAACCACACATACATTGTAAACACACATCTGTTCATTATCTATACTACACATTAAAATTTTCTCACACAAACACACACACACGCAAACACACACACACACACACGCATCACAGCTCACATTTTACAGTAAACAAACTCAAACATAGGCCTTAAGCTCGAAACGTTCATACATAAGCTAAAACTAACATAAAAATACTAATTATATCTTAAACAATAACCACGATAAACTAAAAAATATAAATTCATAATAATAAATAACAATTCTGTCCAAAATCTCAAGGAGAAAGATAAAAATATTTTTTTTAATTTTCTGAAACTATAACAGAGAAAACTACGAAACACTAGCTTTATTTATTTTTGCCAAAAAACGGACCCAATCACACACATACATTTGCATGAATGTATATGAATATATATATTTAAACCTTTATACATACACATCTACATACACACGCGTACACAATATTGTGTGAATACATATACATATATCTATATTTTTATTTAAAATTGAGCAATAATAATTTTTAAGGACATCTTTGGAACAAAGAAGCAAGCAAAAAAGAAATTTTTTTATTCGTCAAATTGTCTGTAAAACTGTAAAAATAATCAGTTAATCATTCAATCTAGCATATAATTTAATAATTTAATCAGCCATCAATCAATCAATTGACCAATCAACCAGTTAAATTTTAAATCTTTCAGTAATAGGCAATATTATCAGCCAAGTTGTTATTCTCTCTCTCTCTCTCTCTCTCTCTCTCTCTCTCTCTCTCTCTCTCTCACACAAACACAAACACACACACACACACACAACTCACACAAATTCAAAGACAGACAAACACAAGTACACAGACAGACTAATAAATCAAATTCTCTTTATCCTCTCCGTCATCAGCAGCATGATAGTTATTATTATTATTATTATTATTCATCTTCATCTTCTCAGCCATCTTTATAATCTGCTTCCTCTGGACAATTGCCGACGGTCTATCAGATAGATGACAATTTTTATTGGACAACGGCGACCTAACGTTGGGGCTCTTCGATAGCAGAGCTTTACTTGATTTAGCCACATTTTGAGGTTTATTTCCAGCCGAAGATTTTGACAAATCGATGATGACGTCGTTGTTGTTGTTGCTACTGGCAGATGGTTGCGTGTTAAGTTGGTCAGTAGCGCTGTCGATTCTAAGTGATGTTGCGTTAAGCTGGTCATTGTTACTGTCAATAGCAGATGATGCTGTGCTAAGCTGGTCGTTGTTTTTCACCGTTTCTAACCCTTCTGGTTCTTCATAAATTATAAAACTACTGCTGTTGCTATTGACATTTTCCTGTACAACTGCCTGCTGGGCACCTTTCATGATTACAAAAATTGAGAAAAAGTTCATGTATTAATTTGTTAATAAAAAACAATTAAATAAACTTGTAATTCGATGATTATTTGAATAAATAAATAAATATTTGCATTATATTATAATTAATTCTGATAAATTTATGCGTAAACGAAAACTATCACTCTGAAAACTTCCTATAGAAAATTCAACTATAAGGAACATAATCACTAAAAGGTAAAAAAATTATGATAATTTCAACAAAAATATGAATAAAGGTTGATAGCAAACGTTAGAAAACAAATTTTTATATGAGGGGGTATCATACATTTACATTACACTGACCACACACTAACTTTCCGCATGTAGGTTTTCAGTTTCCTGGATTAGCGAATCAAAATCGCAGACCGGGATGTCATTGGAAAATAATCTTTCCTCATCAACACTTGACTCCAGGGCGCTGGGCTGGTAGAAAAAACCTAGAAAGAATTAGAACCAAAAAATATGTTTATTAAATAATTTCAAAACATAAAAAATATTATATTAACTATGATAGAGCACTATTAATATTTAAAAAAATAAAATTGATAATTAATTCTGAACCAAAATGCAACTTGCCTACTTCTAAAATTAGTAAAAATTGATAATTTTTACTTAAAAGCTTAATAAACAATTTGCAATTATTCAGCTCCTACCTTGAACAATTGGAGTCCTTTTGATACCATAAGTCGGCGACCTGGGGTCCACAACAACCGGTCGAGGAGTGGCTGTCACTTGAATCGGCGTCCTATCTATTCCAACCGTCGGTGACCTTGGATCAATGAAATCCCTAATTCTAGAAAAATTCGCTGACCGGTCCGTGTCCGGAGTGGACATTTTTTGTTCGGCAGCAAAAGATGGGCCTGCCTCCTCAACAATGTCATTTTTGCTATTATAGTTACCCATTTTAACTTTTAAATTAAATATTTTTAATTTTTTATAAAATTAATCAAAAAATAAGCGAATTTCGCTGCTTAGAAAACGGTTTCTCTCGTAATCAAAGGCGATAATTTAAAGAAATTTAAATTTGGTGCACTTTCCGCCGAGGTATGCAGTAGAGATGGGCGATTTTATAAATTTAATATTTACCATGATATTTTCTTTGAAACATTGCAGTACCTCAAAATTAAAACATTATTGGCAGCAGCCAAAGCAAATCAAATGCTTGGATGTATTAGAAGAACGATGGTGAGCAGAGAAAAGTCGATCATTTCATTATAAACTTGTATAAAACATTAGTTCGTCTCCATCTCGATTACTGTTCACAGGTCTGGAGTCCAGATCTGCAAAACGAAAAGACGTTCTTGAACGGGTATGGCGTAGAGCGATAAAAATGATCGAAGAAGTTGGAAAACTAGAAAATAGGGATAGACTGAAAGAATGAGGATCAACAACACCAGAAAGGAGAAGATGCAGAGGAGATCGGATTCAGGCATATAAGTTAATAATTGGAAAAGAAGAAACACCGTTCACCAAGTTCTTTCAACTAGAAAAAAGGAAAAGATTAAGAGGTCGTAGATACGAGCTCTTCAAGAAGACAGAAAATTCAATAAAGCTAAGATTCTTCAGCAACATGGTGGTAATAAATGCCTGGAACGAGCTGAGCGATGAAATTGTATCAGTGGATTCAATCAGCAATTGTAAAATCAAGCTAGGAGGGACTAGGATACTAATACATTTATTTTTTAGTGGTTCTTACACAGATGGTAGTCTACTGAACCACTTTAAACTTTGTTATGTTATGTTGTCGTTGTCGCTACTACAGATACTACTACAAAAACTAATACATATTATGTATTGTATTTTATATAATTATATTATTATTACACACACACATATATATATAAAGTATATACATTATATTCTATGTTATTTTCTATATATATATATATATATATATATATATATATATATATGTATTATTATTATTCTTATTGCATAAGCAGCTATTTTTGTTATTCTTTTTTAATGCGTGATAATTATCATGCCAGTGCTTGATTTGTCTTGAATCAAGTCACTGGAGGGATATTGTTGTTATTGATTTTATTAATATTATTGTTATTGTTATTATCATTGTTGTTGTTGTTGTTGTTGTTGTTGTTGTTGTTGTTGTTGTTGTTGTTGTTGTTGTTGTTGTTGTTGTTGTTGTTGTTGTTGTTGTTGTTGTTCTAACTCTATAGAAGATACCAGAGCTAAACTGAATGGGAGAAAGTTGAATGCACTTGCTATATTACAAGTCTAAACAGTAAACAACAACAAGAATAATAATAATGAATAATAATAATAATAATAATAGTTGATAATAATAATTATGTTAATAATAATTAACAATAATGAATAATATTGATAATAACATCAAGAACAACAACAACAGCAAACAATCAAATGCTGAAAACAATCAAATGCTGCCCTAAATTCAGTAGCGAAATAAGCGACATGAATGATGCTAATTAATAACCACAAATGACCACCACCACCACCACCATCATCATCATCATCATCATCACCATCCTCGTCGTCATCATCATCATCATCCTCATCGTCAATTTTTTTGATAGAGGGCTAACGTGTTTGTCAATTCGATCAGAGCCTGTGTTCAAACCTGCTTCTGCGATAATAATATGAATAATAATCAACATAATAAATAAAAATTGTTATAATTATTATTATTATTTTTGTTATTATAAAAATAGTAGTGTCAGCAGGCTACCAGTAGTAGTAGTAGTAGTAGTAGTAGTAGTAGTAGTAGTAGTAGTAGTAGTAGTAGTAGTAGTAGTAGTAGTAGTAGTAGTAGTAGTAGTAGTAGTAGTAGTAGTAGTAGTAGTAGTAGTAGTAGTAGTAGTAGTAGTAGTAGTAGTAGTAGTAGTAGTAGTAGTAGTAGTAGTAGTAGTAGTAGTAGTAGTAGTAGTAGTAGTAGTAATAGTAGCAACAGCAGCAGCAGTAGTAGTAGTAGTAGAAATAGTAGCAGCAGCAGTAGTAGTAGTAGTAGTTGTAGTAGTAGTAGTAGTAGTAGTAGTAGTAGTAGTAGCAGTGTTAGCAGTAGTTTTG